AAACTCCTAAAACTCGCGTAATAATTCTTCGATTTCGACTTAACTTCGATATTTTATTATATTCTGCGATACTATTTCGAGATATCCGAAGGGACAATAAATCTATCGACAGATTCTGCCTGTGGCAATAATAGTGAAACCAGTTCCATGTATTTATGTGTTATTCTTACATCTTTCTACTTCATCAAAGTATTGTTATCGCCTATCCGGTTTAGCGAGACGAATAATAGAAACGTCAACTTTATATAGAGTAACGCATATTAAATTTGGGGGGAGAATTTTTCCATTGTCGCATTATACAAGGAATCCGATCGACTTAAAACTTGTAGAAATTGTCTGATCATATCATTCTTATACAGTAATTAGCGGTTCCTTTAATTAATAAATGGGTTGTTGGGCCTCATATACCTGAAGGGAGCTGGGGCCTGAAGAAAAATTAAAGGCCCCTAGTACTTCTTATCCCAATAGTTATTTTTACTAATAAAAAAATGAACTGCTACTCATTAATAAAGAAACGTTCTACGTATTTCATTTGTTGAAAAATAGCAAAAGGTGTTTTCAAAAGCCTTATTTATACCTTGTTTTTATTTACATTTTATCAACGCCAGGATCAGTTTAGCCTAGAGTTGATAAAAGTAGGAACATCCAGAGGGAGGGAAAAAGAGAAAATTATCCCGGGCCTCGAAAAATTATATTCCCTACAAAATTTTTATTTCGTTACCCTCTGGATAACTAAAGAAAAACGCAGACAGGGATAAAACGGAACGTAAAAGAAAATAGACGTTAAATATGGGTGGAAGATATTAAATATTCGATCGCGTAATCATTTCTATATTCTGTCTATAAAATTCTACTTACTAATTCCTCTCGTTTCCTTTTCTAAGATTTAATTAACAGAGTTGCACTTCCTCCTTTGTTCTGATTAATTATACTTTCGATTCCAAATTAGGCATTCCGGACAATAACTCGAAACGGAATTGTTAGTCGCGAACGTTCCTCTAACGTCGACGTTCCCCAATTCGAAATCTCGGAAAATTCCATACTCGGAATTAACCGAGCGACCGAACCGGAAGAGACAAATATATATATTTATTTGGACTCGACCAAGCGAATCGTTCGATTAGTTGCGCCATTTCAAAGAAACTTCAAAGTTACGAAGATGGGGATTAAGTTTTCCTTTACCCCCCCGCTATAGAAATGAAACGAAAACACTCATTTTTCTCGATTTCTATATTTAGACTAAAAAACATGTCAGCGGAGTCTTAGGGTTTGACTAAAAGTGTAAACAATATAGTTTTTAGATTTATCGATAGCGTATACAGTAGAGTAACGCCATATTTAGTCCTTTTTACTATCTAAAACTTATGTTTCCACTATTTTAGAATGTTCGTTTTTACTTACGCATTTTTACGCGATTTTTTTTTACTACAACGGAGCATTTTATTAATGTAAAGTAACGTAACTTATAGAATACAGAGAGTAAAACATTAATAGCTGGATTAAATATGGCGGATGTAAAATGGATCACGTTGTTGAGGCGATTATGTTGTGAAGTCAAGTGAATTCTAAAATAAACGTGTAGAAAACATCCATATATAGATAGAACTATATTAAACTTCGGTATTCCTTCTTGTAAAAAGTTCATGAATACTTGTGATCGGAACTTTCTCAAAAACATTAGGCCTATATAACTCTTCGTTATTCGTGTATTATTAAGTGAGTCCATAATCGGCCTCAATGTCTAGTTTCACGAATCATGTCTTTTGACTTTAACAATAGAAAAATCTGAAAATCTGTCGTTGGCGCTCATTGCCGCCAGTGTGTATCGGCCTATATGTATATGGAATATCTAAAGACCGATATGGACGGGCGAGAAAATTATGACGACAGCCAACGTCAACAACTGGCTCCACCAATCATTTTCGACATCTGAAACGGGCGACAATATTGCATCTGTTATCGAAATCATTAATAAATAATTACAATTTCTATGAAATCGAAAAAAAAAATCGTATAATTAAATGTTCGTTTCGTGATTAACGAAAATATAAAAATTCGTTCGTATTAATTAAAAATTGTTTAAATCTGTCATTGACGTTGTCGCGTTAATTTTGTCGTCTGCATGCGTAGGGGGACAACATTAAGGCGACACCCAACGTCGACGGATAAAATGAAAATGCGCCACCTCGTTACTTTATTCATTTTCTGTGACATATATATATTTAAGAAATTAGCGTCTATTTTTTTTTCAATACTAAAAATGGCAACAACCGATGCTTTAATATTACACCTGTCTTCGAAGTCATTAATAAATAATTATAATTTGTAAAAGTTAATAATAAAAAAAATCGAATAATTAAATATTCGTTTCGTAATTAACGAAACTGTAAAAAGTCGTTTGTACTAATTAAAAATTAATCCGAATTTAAAGGACGAATACCAAAAAGGAAAGACGACGATCGAAAATTAGTTCTAAAAATGTCTTCTTTTTTTTGCATTTTTTATATAGGGACTTTAAATATTTAAACATTTTATAAGTTTAATTAAATATTTAGAACGCCGAATCTATGGACAAGCGGATGGGCGAGAACTAATTAATTAATTAACCACTCGGCGAATTTCGGACCGACAAGCGAACGAATCGGGAAAAGTAACTCCGAAGGAGAAGCGATTATTCCCTCGATATTACGCCGAAAAGAAACTTCGCCCGGTAATTTTTGTATATCGTTTCTTAGAATAACGACAGGGGGCGGGTCGAAAAAAATGGCGGCTCATTAATAATAGAAGAGATAAATTTATAAAGGAAGAGTTCGATAATTGGCAAAATTTCCTAAGGCGTATTCTGTATATTAATAACGTCTCGCTATAAATAACGCTTTAAATGGGGACGTTTTATTCACTTAAACCGCGTCTTCAACGGCGCACACCTTAAACCAACCGTTCCCGCATATAGCGACGTCCTTTACGCGTTACTTCAATTTATTACGTAGATTATTATGGTAAAATCTGCCAAAAACGGGACCCGAATAAAGCGGAAACTCGCCTAAACGCGGGTTTTACAGTATTTTAACAGATAATCTATCGTAAGAAATGCATTTTTGTGACGTCAAATAAATAAACCCCGGGGGACGTCACGTGTAAGAGACATTTGTTTTCCAAGTTTTCGGAAAATTACCTCATCCGTCTCTTTCCTCCCCACTCCGCGAAATACGTCGATCTAACACATCCAAACTTTCCAAGAGACGTCAGAGAATTCCGAAAATTCCCCAAACTCAATTTGCCAACGGGCGTCGCTATTCCGAAGTGGGGCGGCGTCCCACCTCGAAGTAGCGCCGTCGTTTCTCCGCTCGGCCATTTATTTCTAAGTAGCTACGTTTGGCCCGGGGTTAGTCTCGAGGGTGTCAAAGTTTAATTACGAGGAGGGGGTTGAGTCACTTCCTCTTAAATTACCGGAAATTACCATCCAGATAATTGAAGAGGAGGCCCCTTTAGTAGTTAAACGTCAAAGTGACAGAGTTATTGTTATACGCGGGAACCGTTCCTAACTCCCGACAGGAAATGTCCGAATTTAAGGTTCTTTTCTTTTCTTATTTTGCAAAGTTACGCGATTGATTTACGTTTCTGACGGGATTTATAACGCGCTTAAAATCGAGGAAAAAATCCCGAAAATGAATAAACGTTAAGGTAAACGTAGGGAAATTACCGATAAAGGAAGTGACGTGACGTAACTCACCTCGACGGGCGTTCGGAAGGCGTCGTTACGCGTCCGACGTTTGACCATTCCGTATAGGAAGAACATTTCGCACGGACCCTCCGCCCTCCGTCCATGACCGCCGAAGAATACTCTTCCCCCCTCTTATTCCTTCCCCGCTCCGCCGCGCGCGCGCGCGCTTTGTGTCACCGCCCCTTTCGGGTCGAGAACGAGGCCGGAAGTCGATTCGGCCTGGATTTCCGGACGATTTCTCTACTTCGTCGACTCTTCTTTTTTGTGAGTTTCTCCGTAACGAAGCGGGCGGAAGTTTAACTACGCCTGGGGTTCGAACCCTCTCCTTATAAATGAAATGAAAACAAAAGCCTTCGTTTACATTCGTTACGCTATCCACTTAAGAAGGAAGATATCCGCAGCCTTCTACATTTAAATACCAACGAAACATAACTCAGATGGTAAATTATCAATTATACAATTCCCAGGTATTGTAATCCGCGTAACGATTCTAAACAAGGCGTAACCGATCGTTATTCTCGTCCGGAATTCTCTTTTTTTTTTCTCGTTACGTAATTGAGAAATGATGTCATCACTTCCGGAATGGTAATTACCCTTTATCGTTACGTATACGATCGCTTCCGGTCAAAACGTAACGACCCGAGATACATTTCTACTTCCGGAATCGGAACCGGAAGATACAGAAATTATTCGATTTCGAAGTCGATTGTTTCAACACTAAAACAAGGAAAATCGTACGTCCGTAGATCTGTCCGTCTGCAAAATATTAAAATGTGTTGCGAGGTAAATGTTAATTTTCCTTCCCCTTTTGGGGGAAATTCCGAGGTGTTGTAGATACATTCTAAATTTCCGTACTATTGTTACGCCGAGTAAATAAAGAAAAACGAATCGTAACGTCTCTGTTACGCTATACATAGAAACTGGCTAGAAAAAAATGTCCCCCCCATCTAACGACCGTCGCGACATCTGATGAGAAAAGTGGTAACTATCGAAGCTACTGCGTAACGTCGATATTTAATACCCCGATTTAGCGCTAACAATACGCAATTAACGCCCGAAATCTAATTTTACGCGTATTTCGGGTTCTAGGACTTGAAGCGATTGACCGGAGATGAAGGAATGTGCGTAACAATGCCTCCAAATGCGCATATAAGAAGGTGAAATGATTTGAAACACTAGAATGTAACGTAACGTAACCAAGCTGGTTCTCTACACTACATTTATGAGAAGGAACGGGAAATATGTAGGCTATTGATGTTACGAAAAGAAGCCTTACCTCTAAGAGACTGTGCAGTTGTCTGTTCTCCAAAACGGATGAGAGATAAGTCCAATCCTGATCTCGACTCTCAATCAGACATTGAATGCCTTCCAAACTGTCCAGTATCAGGGAAACTGCGCCTGCTAATAATTACAATAATTAGTTCCTCGTGTTCAATAATAACGTCGCTATAAACGGGTGTAAACGTTACATAAAGTAGGAACGAAACGATTTCGTTCTCCTCTAATCCCCAAAAAAATAATCTTATTTATAGAAAAGGAAAATGCCGGAAGTAAACCGAGACGTATTTTTCGAATCGGAAAGAAACTCGAAGCGACAAAATTTCGACTAACGACGTCTATTCGAAACTGATAGACTGGATTCTCTATTATCTTCCTGTATGTTCGTTCGTTTATTACACGAGAACGGCCGAACCGATTTGTATGAAACTTTGTACATGTATTCAGGACATTCCTGGGAAGGATTCTGGCTACTTTCCAATTCACGTCTGTCTATCTGTCTGTTCGAATATCACGTGAAACAACTGAATCCTTCTTCGGGCTGTACAGTGTATTTAGTGTAAATTTCTATGTTTTTGACCGGATCTATTATATATTCTTTCTCGGTATATAAATTTTTTATGCGTGTATTTTTGTACGAAAACATTAAATAAAGTATCATCTAGTAATTTAATAAATTAAAGTGAGAATTAAGAAGTAATACCCGAAGAAGTAAGTTCGTCTTCCATGCTGTACGTGGATAATCTGTCGTAGGTCTGGTCTCCGTACGTATTGTACCATTTGGGACTGGATACGGCCGACAATACCATTTCCTGTAAACAAAACAACGTTATAGATACGTCACTCGCTTATATTTTCTCGGATATAATGAATATTCTATATTTATCTTTACCGTTCGAAATGCAATCCTGTAAATCAGTCTTTCCCGCAAAGCGGAGAAATACGAGGGAAAGCATACATTTAGGCGTTCGTAAAGACTATGTATAAGTGTATTCTTGATCCAAATCGTTGACTCTTGACAATGGCGTTAAGTTAAACCCCGATTTAGCGCCACAATTTGTTCAGTTTTGAAACTGGCACTAAATCGAGTGGAGTGAACGTCGGTAATTTGCAGATACTGATTAACCTATTAACTAATTATTATTAATATTTAAAAAAAACCTTTCTATAATATTTTAATTTACAAATATAATCAGCATCATCCCTCGATTTAACGAAAATTTATATCATTTTTTAAGACTCGTCAAAAATTGAGGCCAATTATATCCAGTATTCCTCATACATGTTTTACACGGAACGGTTATCGTCTTTACTACAAGTTCTAACCTCATATGATCAATCAAATCCCTCGATTTAACGGATTTATACGCTTTTAATGCCTTATACATGACAAGAATAAACATTCCAACAAACATAAAAGCCACAGCTATATATTTTTAATGAGGAACTACAGGGTAGCTTCGCCTCTACGCCATCAAATTCATCAGTAACCATGCTTAGATTTAACGGCACCATTATGGGAGACCATAACTTTAAATTTAATATTTAATTTTATAGTATTTTCGTCCAAATATTTATCTAATCTGCCTCCCCATAAATCAGTAAATAAGCTAGTAATTCCTTTATGCAGGAAGAAGCTCAGGATCAAAATATATAAAGGAAGAACAAACGAATCCTTAGGATGATTATAGTGTGTCCCATAAGTCTGGAAACACAGGGGATAATTATATTAATCTTTATTTATTCTTTTATAGTTGGGGATGGTAAGTGAGGAGAGTCGTTATAATGGGGACTGGCAATTAGCATGAAAAGAGAGAGCAAATTTACTTTAGTAAATATTTAGATAGGAGAGAGGAGCAGGAGCAGGATCTCCTCCTCCTCTTTCGTATCTCTTGTAAGCATGAGATTCTTTTATGACTAAAATTTGATTTGATGAGGTAAGTCAACTCCACACGTGTCGATCTCTCAAAAGGGGTGCTCCAGAGAAGAATTTCTATGACAAATTAACTCCTGTTTAGGTGTTACACGTGAAAAAAACCTGGTAAACTCCACGTGGCGTTGGTCAGGTGCGAACCCATAACACGTAATCCACTGTTAGGCCTCTGTTATGGCCAAACAATGATTTAGGATAATTAGGATAATCCCGAGAGTTTGCAGGCGGATAGTTTTCATAAAAACTTAATGCGTGAATAAATACTACACGCTACGCTTGGGTGGGTTAATTATCCGAAAGAAATCTCGAATTAATAGCATTAAAACGCTATTTCGAGAACATAATACGAGAGAAAAATCGTTTAAACGCCACCAACGATCCGCTTAATATTCCGACGACATCATCACATCCCTTTTTGGTCCAGTAATAAAGAGAAAATCGAGATTCATCACCCTGATAAATTGGAAAATATGCTAAGTTACTTTCTGGGATGATTCCAATAATGTTAAATATGCGTCATAATTTAATAAAATATATAAATTTAAATTGTTAAATTGCATTATTGTTTCGTAAACTTAAGCATCATTCCAGGAGGAAGGAGCCAGCATCAGTCCAGAAAGGAGTGATGCTGCTGGCCCTTTCTGGACAACACTGAATTCTTTCTGGAGTTTCGAGCAAATATGACGATTAGAATAGAATAACTCCGTAACATTCTGCGTAATTTGCGTGTAATTTTACAAAATATACGTATATTTTTGTAGGTTACGCTTGACTCTTTACATTCTCTTCATCTCCGTGCTCCACCATCTTCATCATCCGAATTTCATTGATTTTTCTCGTAAGATATGATTTCATTCATTCAGAATTTAAAATGTAATCGTCATCTAATTTTGAATTACTCGCGTGTAATTAAATTTACAGTAATATAAACGAGGAGCAAATATCTGCACTTACCTTTAACTTCCTTCTAATGTTAAATCGCTTTAAATTTTCGACGGTGATTTGTAAATGAACTCTAGAGGCACAACTGTCTCTGTCCTACGGGGAAAAAATAAGGCAATTAAAGCCATAATTAACTGAAAAATAAATTATTTCCTTTAAAAAATAAAAAATGGAGCAATTACGACGAAAATTACATCCGAATCGAGAAGATAAAGTTACGTTTTCATGCTGGAAAATTCGCTTTGTTCGACTATTCGAAACGTTATATCGAGTTTACTTTTTGAAAAAATAATGAATAGACAAGAAAAATGTATTATTTATTAATAATAATGGTTAAAAGTTTAAAAATAGAGTAATAAATAATTTAAATTTCCGGATTTCGTTGCATTTCTTCGCTGGCAGATCGATGCAAAATAGAGCAGGATAGACGATTCGTCATTTTTCAACCTGCCTAAACGTTCTTTCTATGAAAAGAAGATATGAAAACCTTCTGTGACGTTCTTATCGAACGTCACAGAAGGTAAAATATAACTAAAAAGTAGTTAATATGCTCAGGACAGGCCCTAGACTTGCGAACGATAGGTCCGAGCCGACGGAATTATTTCCAACTCTTGAGTCAAATTAATACAATTTATTTGTTTTTTTATATACACAAAACACGACTTTTTACGTTAGACTTTTAATTTTAATTGTAATTTCTTTAAAGAATTAACCTTTTATGAAAATTACGGCTCCTCGAAAGTGTGCCGCGCCAAGAACAGGTGAATAGGATAAGGCAATCAACACCTGGGCAATTTGCCAAAAGAGGAGAACCTTCTGTGGGAAACTGGCCAGTTTAGATGTGAATAAAACCACGTGATCAGCTTATTAATCGGGTGCGAACCCATGACTAACGTTCAGTGGATAAAACTCTAAATACGTTTTAAGGTACAAGCAAAGCAAACAAGCCAATAGCGTGTCTTGTTTCATATTTAAAGAGACTACTTAGCTGCTTACCACTTTCAATCGAAAAAGAAGAAGTTTACCCCTTAATGTACCCTTTTTTTATTTTTATTTTTTTTTAATTAGAAAATACTATCAAACTTTTAACGTTTTCTGTAATATACTAAAAAGTGAGCATTCATAATTTATCGAACAACATCCGAGTACGTTAATTCGGGATAATTATCGACCAGGGAATATTAATAATCGGGTTTATTCTATAAATTCTGCAAGTTTTCTCTTTCTGCCAGGACGACACGTAGCTGCAGCACTTTGAAATTTATCTTAAAACACGAAAATCACCCTTCTTCGTTACTTTAAAACGAAGGATTTTCATCCAATCGCTAATGCAAACTGCAAAAATTTACGTTTTGTTCGGTTAACTAACTTCTGAGCCTCCCTTTATTTAAAGCATTGCTTATGTTAAGCAATCTAAAGTAAAATACCGCAAGGTATGAGGTGACGAGGCTCATTGATCGGGTGAGAACCCACGACCAATAGTTTCAGGGCTTCCGTTACGTCACAAACAAAGATATTTCTACTGTAATGAAGATTATGCGCTATAATTACCTTTATCCAAGGATGTTTTAGAATTTCGTCCACCGTAATTCTCTCGAAAGGGTCCAAAACCAGCATCCTCCTTACCAAATCTTTGGCAAATTCTTTGATGTATTGCCAAGCAAAACTGGACATCTGCCGATAAAATATAGTTTATCAAAGTTAGAAAACACCGTAAAAAGTTATCTAATTCAGAAATAATAATAATAAAAATCTCATTTTATTGTTAAATATCGAAATTTATAGATAAATTTTGTTTTAATTTACCATTATTTACATATCTTTAATGACCGATAATTCAAAATGGAGGCCAATCTTATATAGAAAGTGCGAATTAAAACGCCAAAAATTAATACATTAACTGTTTTCTTTGCTTTAATGTCTGTTAGAAGCTAATTTATATGAGGCCTTTTTTCATTTTGGCCGGGGCGCTAAGCTGTAACCCTTCTCTTCCACTAAATATTGATACGTGTAAAAATTCGAAGCCTTGAGTTAACTTTCGAGGCCCTAAGCTGCAGCTTATGTATAAATCCCACTCTGTGAGCACTAAGAGGGCCCTTTTTTTGCCCAGGCCAACAATGGGGACGACCGAATAACGAGATCCTGATTTGACAATTAATTCGGGTTTTTTTTTTGTAGGTTATGTATGGATGTTAGTGCGTATGGTGAGGCACGATTTTTCATCCACTTTGAAGCTTAATAACGCCCGTGTCTTTTGTTGAAATTTTCTGAAGTTTTGCAGGGAAGTTTATATATTAGGAGGGAATGTTTTCAGAAATTTTCAGAGAAATCGGATAATTGGTTCGGGAGATATAGCCTCATCCCCATAATATCTCCCGAACCAATCTGAAGACTTATAAAAGCAATGCTAGCAATTATTAGGGATAAAAACAAATAAAGAATGCCGGGAAAGTCCAGCACAACAACTTTGCAGCTTTTTCGTATTCCCATCGTGACGTGTCGATCCCTGAAAATAAATGTTGGCAAATATTTTTCTTCTTGCAGAATTCGATGGTCACTCGCAAATGATATAATCCCCTAAGAAACTCACAGAAAAATCACCAAATTCTTTATGGAATCATTAAGATCCATTGCAGAGGATCACAAGTCATGGTTAAACTGGGTCATTGCATGCTCTATTTATTAACTGTGGAGTATTTCTCTAAATATGCGAACAAATCGCCATTACAACGAAAGCCAATTTTTCTCCGGAAAGAAATTCCAAAAAAATTAATCGTTGATTGGATAAAAACTAAGATATTCGTTATAATCCTTCGCTAGAAGCTTGTAGGCACGATCTGTCTTAGATCGTGCCTACAAGCTCAAAATACAGTGACGTAGAAATCATCGTTACCATTCGCATCTGATCTGGCCAATTCGAGTTTTCCGAGTTTCCTTCACCTGTCTAAGGCCTAAATATGGGGCTAGTTTGCCACCTCCCTCTTGGCAGATTTCCCATATGTTGAGTTGCCAATCAATCTAATCTAATCCAGGGGGTGGAGAGTAAGCATTCGCTTCCTCTATCGTAAATTTTGTCCCACTTGGCTCCTGTTTTATCTTTTGCTCCTCTGGCTACGATCTATGTTAGAGGGGCACGAATTGGAACAGTGCAAACCTATATTCACCCCCTTATGGATTCAAAAATATAGATGAAGAGTAAGCTCTTAGATATTGTACATATATTTATGTATTTATTTAGAAAGGTAAAAAGTCCCTCCTCCTGGGTCCTCTTATCGTTCTAAATATACAAATCATTTCTCGGAATGTTTTAAACATACAATAATAAAATTTCAAAACGCTTTAGCAGAGCACGGCCGAGAGAATGAAGTGTTAAGGGCTCACAGAGTAATAATAACAACACATTAAAGCTTTGGGGCTGTATTCTAGTCGTCCCTTATCTTTGAATAGTAGTACATCACGAGCGAACCGCCAATTGGCTTAAAATAAATTTTAACCAATCTGCGACCTCAACGTGTACCGCACTTACGATTACGTAAGATAGCATAATACTCCAATAACCAATCGCGTGTAAGGATATGCTTACATATCGAAACCCCATTGGTCATTTCACTCTAACTGTTCGAAAAAGTAAATAATTCGAATTTTAAATTAAAATAATTCTATTATTATTATTATTAATTTATTATTTCAAGTTATTCTAACGTATTAATATATATTATTTTTTTAAATATGTAATTTTATAAAGGAAACTTTAATAAATAGAAGTGGTTTTTTTTAAGTGAAGACAGAGTGTGGACAGAGGACAGCAACTAGCCATTTAGGAAGTAATGAGGTCTTCCCCGTAGTGCGTACATTAAGCCGCCCACTGCAAATCGATTCGTGTAGCTGTTCCTTATTGCCCAGAAAAGGTAGATTTCCGCTCAGAAGAACGTATAACAATACTCCACAACTCCATATGTCGGCAGCTTTCCCGCACGATTTCTTCTTGATCATTTCCGGTGCCATAAAATGGGGACTGCTCACGTGACCTAATATAAACATCAAAGAATATATTTCGCATAAAAATGCCTTTTACAGGTTTTATTATTATTTTTTTTAATATTGTAACCACATAAAACAATAAAAGGCTTAAACTTTATTCATACAAGAATATCAAATTTTATTATTTATTTATTTTAAATGTATAAATTATAATTGATGTTATTCGTGTATCTGATACTAAGTATACGACTATAATAATTAGTTTTATTAAAATGCATGCAAAAAATTGAGTTTTCATACAGAATCGGTCATACGGACGTGCACACTACACATACAGTATAGTTGTATATTGCTCGTGACATCTTCCCTATCTTCTGGAGGGTGGACAATAGTGATCGATAAAACCACCAAACGCTAGCCTGATCAACAGACTGACCACGTGGAGTTTTCTGGGTTTACATCAAGTGGTGTAAAGCTAGTTACGGGCTAGTGTCCCGTGAAAAGTCCTCACGGGAGGTGCCTCCCCTTGGCATATCGCCCACGTGTTGCGTAGCCGTATTCCGCCAATCCTGATCTTCCAGAGGTTGGATTGGTGGAATAAGGCAGTGCAACACTTGAGCAATATGCCAATGGAGAAGGTCCTACCGAGAGGACTTTCAATGGAAAGCTAGCGCCTATTTACAAACGTGAAGAAAACTCGAAAAATGCCACGTGTTAGTCACGTGGAGTTTTTCGAGTGCTGATCTCTTGGCGCCAACCCGCGACTGACAGTCAGATTCGGTGGTTGTATCCACTTCGGCCACTGGTTGGCTCTCTGGAGGTCAGAGGAAACTTTTTACCGTGGATATCTAGATTGGATGGTAGAGATTAGTTGTATTGTTTCTTCCACAAATTTGGAACTTGAGCAGGACGGAGTCTCATAAAGCAACTCCTTCCCTGCCCCGCCTATTGGCACTATAGGGTTAAAGAGACTATGCCTTGTTCATCGACTGGTTGGTACCTAACACGGTAGACAGGGACGACATAGCTGGGCCCTATGATACTTCTTTCGGGCTCCCGTCCATACCCCGGCCCAGCTCTCTTAACTTGGCATAACTTTTTATATTGTGCAGCCTGTTCTGCACTTATGGTCCACGATACTAAACCTTTTCCAGCTCACACATATACTAATAGCTCAGACTTATAAATATGTAAATAGATATACAAACAGCGGGGCCCCGTTCCTACGAGAGGGGGCCCAAACTAGCTCTTTCCAGACTTATAGATCGAAGAGATCTATGATTTTTCCCATCAATTCCTTTAGTTTCCTTTTACTAGCTGCTAGCGTTCACAGTGTATTGAAGCACCTTTATCGCATACTGCATTAGCAAGACAGAATATCAATTGGTATATTTAAGATAATATAAACAGATTTTTTTATATCATATAATTAATATATTTAACTTTAGGATAGTTTTACTCAAGGATAAATATTAACTAGATTCATTATCATACCCTTCACGGGTTCGGTCAAGCCCATAATGGGACCAGATGGTCATGGACCAGACTCAGTAAATCCAGGTCAGATCGTCCATGAAAGATTTCTAGTGTTGCTCATCCGGATTCGATCCTAGGTGCTCTAGAGCGGTAGGCTGACGCCTTAACAGCTTCGATCATCCCGCTGTCCACGAATAGATATTAAAACTTTCTTATTTTTATATATGTTTGAAGAAATAATGATCGTTTCCTTTACTTTAGTGCCTGCCACGGCCGAGCGGACAAAACCATTAAACACTAATGAAGGATTTGCACCTGACCAACGAGATGCCGCATGTTTTCTAGGTTCCGTCACTTGTAAATAGGGAGTATTTCCCATAGAAAAGCCACCCGAGAGATACCCATTTGACAGATCGCTCATGTGTTGTGTTGTATTATCCATTAATCCTACAATCCTAATCACAATTACAGATATAAGACGATTTATTTTCCAAGAGTTTCACACAGAAAATTTCAATCCTTTCTCATGGCCACGCGCGTATTATAAAATATTACAAATTAATATTAAATTTAGTATAAAGTTACATCTTACCCGATTCTACCGAAGAGGCATTATTTAGTTGAATGGCGGAACTAAATCCACTTAGTTTCACCGGAGCAGAATTTTCCTTCGATGCCAATAATACAGAATGAGGTTTGATGTCCCGATGAATGATATTATTACTGTGACAATAACGAACCGCCTCCAAAATTTGTCTCATGTAGTGGCTGAAAAAGGATTATTAAACGTTTATACGTACTGGTACTGTACATGAAAGCATTATATAATTAATATCTGTTCAGTACAGTACACTACAAGTATTTACAAGTTTTCCAAATACAGTATATAAACAATAGGTAAAAATATTAAAAAATCCAGGAAAGAGTTGCGTAACTTTCCCGGCAAAAAGTATTTATGTCTAATAAACAAATTAACAAAATTTAAAATTGTGTATTGTATCATCTGTTATCAGTTTTTGTTCTAAAAAATAACTTTTACATTATGAATTACAGTATAATAAAGAAAATTGTGTGTGGCGCCATCTGTTATCAATTTTTATTTAAAAATATTTTAATTAGCTTTAAGATAAACAACGCTAAATTAAATTTACTAAATTGAAAATTTAGCGTTACAAAGAGGCAAAAAAATATTTTAATATTCCTAACCTCAATCGATAATTAATTACTAACGACGTGTGCCCGGGCTGCTCGGGATTTTCAGGAGGTGTGGAATTGAAAGAGGGTGATAAAAACAATGGTCCTAGTAACTAAAATCGAAAATTGCTCAGGCTTGCGGGACAAAGATAACAGATCATTTTTGTTCTATTGCAAAACTTTGGTGATCCAAATTTCGCAAAAGCATGGAACCAACTGAATCTTAAACCTGGTGAGTTTAAAAACTCATCAAGTATAAGGTTCAAGAACTGGTATAAGGTTGGTATTTTCAAGGGTACATTCGGCAAGGCATTTGCTCTCTCGTATATCCATCTGTAGTTTAAGTAGCAAGTGTTATCAAATTAGTATTTGGATTTTCAGTGAATTTGTCATCCGGAGATGCAAAAGTTGTTTAGGAAAATTTGCTGTAGATCTGTGTCCCAATAAATGGACCCTCATATTCGTTGAAAGGGACAAATTTTTAACATGATTCCACAATGATGATGCCTTTAGGCAGGCATTACTGTAAGCTAGGGTCGGTAGGAGTCGAAAGTCAAACTAACAATTTATTATTAACAATCAAGAAGCAAACAATGTATTATTATCGACAGACCAACAACAATTAACATTTATTTATTATTTTTGCCAACAGATGGCACTACATGTAAAAGATGCGAAATCTATACGTTACCCCAATATTTTGGGAGTAATATATAGCTTATTGCCGATTCCAGGGTCTAAGCAATACTCATACAAACTTTTGTCCAGATCGGTTTAAAAATAAAGATTTGTATAAAGGAGAAACCAACAAGAATTGATTTTTATGTATATAGATAAGGTCTTAATCAAATGTAGTGGAATTATTTTAATATATTCGACTATATCATATTTTCTGCACTCATTATAAAATACGTACAAAATCAACGTTATTAATTAAACTGTGTCCGCACGTAAAAAAATCGGATCGAACCTCCACAACCATTTTCAGGAATGTTTCTTTTTGAAATGCATACAAAATGACCTCCATACGGCGGCCATTTTTTGTCTCCGTCAGTGGCCGTTTTTCAGAGTTTTTTTGACTGTATTAAATTATATAAAACTAATAATTGTTTCGGAAAATTTATTTATTAATAATTTATTAACATTTTTATTAATTAATGAAAAAATATTGGAAAAAATAGGAGGGAGTGAAAATTCCTACCTGGCAACAGCTTCACTGTAAACGAATCCGGCCGATGCCCTTTTCACGATCTCGAAACATAAATCGGAACCTTCCATGCTATAAATTAAAATGTTTGAAAATTTTGTATTTAATTTTTATTGTAAATTTATAAATCATTTTTAAATTGTTTTTTCTTAATTTCCTGAAAGAAAATAACAAGAATAATAAACGATTCGCTTATACCAAACGAAAAGCCGTATTCTAAATTGGGCTATAAGACTAAATAATTACTAAGCAATTTGGCATGAGGCAGGCCGCCAGAGCGCCATCTCTTGTTAAATATAACAATTCTAAATTAATTAATTAATTTAATTTAGTATATATACCAAAGTAAAATGGCGTAAAATTAAATTTTATATGTGTAAAATTTTTCTAGCATTTAAATGGCACGTTAATTGCGTTTTTTGTCAAGTAAATTATGTTAAATGAAATAATAAATGTTAGAAAAATCTGATATCTTGAGAACGATTAAGCATTAAAATAGAGGGCGCATCGAGGTGGCAATCGGTTTAGTTTCATTTGAAACGAATTCTATCATTGGTTTGATTACTCAGATGCTTGACATCTCGATGCGCCCTCTATTTTACAGATGATTTCGTCATCGTTCACAATTAAATATCGAAATAAAAATAAAAAAATTTCTTCAAAATGTCCGCCTAACTGCAAAAAAAGTAAATGAATAAATTATTATTTTTTTAAATATTTTTATTTAATTTTCTGTACATAAGAAAATTAAATTAATTTTAAAAATCAATCGAATTTAATAACAACAAAAATGTAGCATTTTTAAAAATATTTTTCCAAAAGTTTTTTTTATTAAAAAAAAGAGGAGAGAGTAAATATAATATTAAATTTTTTATCATAGCGTTTAAAATTATTCACGAAATTACTACATAAGTTTAAGAGAAATTTAATAAATTTCTTAATATTTTGATAATAAAAAAAAGTATAAACAACATATACTACGACAAAAAATTTTAATTTAATTTTTAAATATAATTTAAGGATTAACATGCAAAATTTTATGCCGATAATGATTTATTGAATGAATAAAATGGCAAATTGTAGACATTTTTCCCACCGGCAACCAAACGGATAAAACCATTAAAGTGGTGAGTTCTCACCCGACTAACGGGCTGGCCATGCCGACTTTTTCGAGTTGTCTAACGCCTAAATAAACTGCAATTTCCTATAGAAAGTCCTTCCAGGGGATCTTCAGACGATCTTCCAGGAGCACCCACCTGGAAGATCGTTCATTCATTTTATTGCTTTACTCGATCGTGTATAAAGGCGATACGATACGATCACTCGATCGTGATCGTATCGCCTTTATACACTTTATACGATCACTTTATATGATCGTGATCGATACACATATACACATATACGATCACTTTATATGATCGTGATCGTATAAAGCCACGTGATCGTGTATAAAGGCTTATGCCTTTATACACGATCACGAAGCCTTTATACACGATCGCGTATTTCCAAGCCAAATAATTAATCTACTGCGTTATTTTATAATTACAGCGGATGCGTCATTATTTACCAATTCAAGATGGCAGAAGAAACTTAAATTTGTGATTCTATCCCTAAATGATAATATAGTTTATAAACATATTAGATGTTATAGATTATGAAAAGAAGTAATTTTTAATTTGATTGAGAAATGCTATTACGTATACAAAAACGTAATAAAAAAGCACGCGCTATTATATTAGGCTAAGTCTATTTCAGCACTAGTGATGAATCATTCATGATTGATTGGATCAAAATGACGTAATTATGAAGCTGATCGAATAATACACGATTCATTTGGTGAAAGCGAATCAATCACCTTCCGAGCCACTTCAATTTGTCATAGATGAATATTCTGATTGCTTAAGAATCTTCTATGGAATTGAATGTTGCGCCATTTTGTATCCGTTGCATCGAGTTTTTTACTTTCAAGGTTTACTAATTTTATTAAATTTCGTTATATTCTGCATATATTTCAACAGCAATTGTATATATATTAATCAAAACGTAGGAAAAATAGTTTGGAGCCTATGGAGTTTGGCCTGATGGTTAGGTAATAACTCCATAAACTTGCCGATCTGGAGTATCAAGGTTTGAATCCGGACTGAGAACCAATTTCGGATTTAGGGGGTGCGCAGGGGGCTGCACCACCCTTCAGCGGGTTTTCCCGAGTTAAGCCTCGGATATTGTGCTTCCTCCTGCAATCCTTTCTAAAGATTATGGATCTGCTATTGCTGAGAACCATTTATGGGTTAGGAAAAGCCAGCGGAAAAGTTCGAAAATCGATCGATCGATAGATAATAAAGGAAGTATCTTACGGTGATTTATTACGTAATTGATTTACGCTAAGAAACTAAACGAATACGTACTATTCGAACACCATATATAGCATACCGTCAGAGCTATACGTTTCGAACAACTCTACGATGTGAGGGTGTTTCAACATATGACATATGGTGGCCTCCCTCTTCAGATCTGCCCACAAAAAAAGAAATGACATTGGTTCGTCAATAGAAACTGGTAAACGCGTGACAAAAGATAGAAGAAAGCGGGCACTTACCTTCCATGCCTAGGGTAGGCAGTGAGGTGAATTTATTAACGTTTACGATTTTAACGGCGAACTGTCGACCCGTAGTTCTGTGCACGCATCTCCTCACCATGCTGACGGGTCCCCTAAACCGAAACATAAATATAAATCCGGTATAACTTCCTTCTTCCCAAAAAGAAAATGGAGAATATCGAGTTCTCCTTAGAAAAGTATCCGTAAACGTGCACGCGATGGACTGTTTAAGCGGGTAGGGTTTTGCACACAAGGGTACCAGAACGACATTTCAAGAGTGAAATATACGCTCGAGTAGCGCCATAACATTTTTTACGCGTGTTAAAAGTACGAAAAAATCTTCATTGTTACAGAAGTTAGAGTCGCAAGAAAAATTTTCAAGTTAGAGGATGCCAATTTTAGGAAAAAGCCGAAAAACACAGGGTTGTCATCCTCTTTTCTGAAAGTCTACTTTCCTATTTAAGCCACCGAACACAGTCTCATTGTCTCTGTTAATGAAAAGGCCCCATTGTTTCTAACTCAAGGAGGCTAGAGGTGTTCGCATCGGTTTTTAACCTCCAATTTCTCATTCTTGGTAGGAGAAAGGAAATCGCATGCTTTCGAAAAAGACACGAATTTTCTTCCATCAATATACTCGAACACATCAGAGCATTGTTTTGAAGTATTTCGTAAACAAAGACGTCGGTATAGCGCACGTGATATGATTCTAGATAAGGTTTGCCTCTAACTGATCCTAATCAAGCAGAAGAAAGAACACCTTAAGAACCTTCCGAATACCTCGAAAACTTGAATATAACATCAAATTGATGTCATACACCGCTCTATACAAGAAGTTATATTCGCCTGAATGCACATGAATTGTATATCAAATTATTTGTGCTACGAACCCTTGAAAGTACCATTTCTCAGAATAATGTTTTTAAACGTGTAAAATAAAATACAAAGGGTCATAGAAGAAACTAATTATAGTGAAAACTCTATAATGTATTCTTGCTGGACCGAAAAATCTGACCGTTATGGAGAGGTGTCTGTTAACTGTATATTGAAACAGTTCACAAAATATTAAATGTACCGTACGAATTCGTGCTTCTTTATTAACTCAACTCAACAAAGAAGTATTGACAATAAAGATATAATAATTTTGTATTTCAAGTTCACGGTCCTCCTGAAATCTATCCACGAACACTCAGAGCCCATGGATTTCAGATGAAAAACTCAAAAGGTCGCTCGAGATTCTTCCGTCGAAATCCGGATATAAACGTCATGTCTCGTTACTTTTGTTTTCGTGTTGTTTAAAAGATTGTATCTGCAACTTCCGGAATAAACGTGCATTGAATAAGCCTGATATAAACAACCATTCTGTAGTTTATATTCTTCCTCTTCGTATACTCGAGTAGAGCCGCTGCCTTCTCCGGAATCGTGACGTGAACGGCAAAATAAAAAAAAAATGGTAAGAAAACGAAGCGAACGAAACAACAGAATTCGAATAATATATCAAAAAATTACGATCGATTCAAAATTAAATAATTTAAGTAGAATCCCTCCGGTTATTTATTTCGTGCATTTATAATTTTGTGCTTAAAATTTTCCGATAAGGAGCGCATTGATATTTAAAAGCGACATCTGCCGACCGAGACGAGAATCATTCCGTCCATCCTCATTTTTCTCTTCTCTTCCCGTTAACTTACGAGATCGTGACGAGAGGGGAGGAAAATAATTTTTAAAAAACATGAGAAAAATCTTAAATTTTTAAAGGAAAAGATCGAATTAATCCTAGATATCGATAAACAGATGGTCGAACCGTTCCGGAAAGAGAGAGACGACTTCCTTTCATAGACATCGGAAGAGAACAGGAGCTCGAGAAAATACGTAAATAATACTCCCTTGCGAGAGAACAAAAGGTTAATAAAGTGATTGAAGGACACTTTAAGTAACGAAAGCGGCACAGATTTTAATGGCGAAAATCGGGTCCAAGAAAGTGCCAGGAGCGAATCCGACCTCGAACTGACATCCCCGGCGAAGAAAACCGGAATCGGAAGGAGCGAAGAGACGTCCGTTAGTCGAGGATTCGGCGCTGTCGGCGATTCGGAAAATGGACCGAACCAATCGGATTCGGACCGAGGGAACATTCATAACCCGGATTTAAAGCATTTTCCCGGGAGAAAAAAAAAAACGGAAACGAAAGTAAGGGTCGAAGAGCGCGTCGATTCCGGAACGGAGAGAGGAGCAACGACGGAATTTTCCAGAAATCTCGCACTTCGGAACGTTTGATCCGCGTGAATCGAGGCGGGGAACGAGAGGAGGAGGGGAGGGGAAAGTCGATCGAATGCCCCCCTTTCATCCGCGGGGACCGGAAGTAGACGGAAGGGGGGACTCGCGAGAGTCTACTCACTTTCCCACCACCTCACGTAGCTCGTAGACGTCGTCGAAGATGACTTCGTCGTCGATTTCGGCCATGACCCGGCGTCTTCGGACCGCGATGGCTCCGCCGCTTCCGGGCAAGCGTCCGCCCGCTCCGCCCGATCCTCCTCTCGTCCGACGTCGGCCGACGCATCGATCGGCGCCTTCGCTCCCTCCGCGCACGCTCCGACGCCTCTACACCGCCGCGCGCCGATTTCCTCTCGCGAACGACCCCTTTTTCCCCTCTGATTCGGGTCTTCCGCCGTTTCTTTCCTCCCAGTTAAAAGGGAATCGGAACGTTTAACGTTTTCCGGGAGGCGTTTTCTTTATCCTCTTCACCGACGACGGAGCGTACAGAAAACTCAGTTTCCGTTTTTAACAGAGGGCGCGTAGGAGCTTCCTGTTCGGTGCGAACGCCTTTACTTAGCTTTCTAAGGAAACTTAAAATATTTTAAAGGAAATATATCCGCTTTCGGGCAGAGAGGCGAAAATACTTCGTCGGTAAATATCCCGTAAAAATGGGACGCTTTCCGAAAGCGCCCCCACCACCGTTTTCCCTTCTGCCAAGCGTCGCGTCCCCTCTTCCGGTCGCATCCGGAACGGACCGAAAGAGGGCGCTTTCCCACCCGGAAGTTAGACGTTGGAAAGAGCTATCGATTCCCCTTTTTTACGTAAGACGAGATTTTAAAAACTACCCCGATTTATCGTAACTCTCCCTTTAACGAAGGTTGCGAAGAACCGCTTTAAAAATAACACGTATGCGGATGAGCCCGACATAAAACTACACAAAAACTTTCAACGCGTCGTCCACTCTAGTTTTTATGTAGGGTAAAAATGTCGCTCTGTATTCGCGTTGCGTAAGGACGAGGCGGTAGAAATTTGAAAATTAGATTTTGGAACGGAAATTCGAGTCACGCGGTGAGAGTCGACCGGTAGTTTGTCTACGAAAGTCACGAAGTGGATAAATGTTTTGGTATGGTCGACATTTAACGATCCCAAATGAATATTTATTAGAGAGACTCTTAAGTGTTCTAATTAATAATGCAATAATCTCACGTCTTAAACTCCTTCCGATAGTTTAAGTTCGTCACTCGCCTTTAAATCATCCTATTTAATATTTATTTAATTTATAATCTTAGCTTCGGATGATATTTTTAAAGTGTAAAAATGTTTTCCTCACGCTTTGGAATTGACCGTTAATTTAGATATTTCGAAACTTTCCCACACGTAGCAAATTGGGCAAGCACGAGCTTCCAGAGAACCAGCAAAGTGGGCGCGCACGAGCTCTCTAAGAGCTAGCATATTGGGCAAGCACGAGCTTCCAGAGACTTAGTAAATGGATGTCCATGTTTAAATCCCGTTATTTAAACCTAGCAGCCAAATTCGGACGAAACTTTACTTCGCCTATTGAAAATCGTAAATTTCATTATGAGGGTTAAACTACCGATTCTGATCTCAGAAAGCCTTACACCAGAAACTGTTCTAAGATAACCGAGAGAGATCCCGTTATAACTATGAACTACAAACATTTTTTTTAATTATTTAAACATTGTTTTATTCGTATAATCGAGCGTTGTTATAAAGAAAAGCGGTCGGCGAATTCCTCGATCCATATAAAATACGTTGGAATAAATACGGACGACGTTTTTAGGGGCAGGAACCGCTGAAAAAAAAAAAAAAAAAAAAAAGTCAAGTTTCCGGGAATTAAAATGAAATTGGTCAATTTTTCTAAGCGAAATTTGCATGCAAAGGAAACAAAGGAAAAATATTTACGATTTGGAATCTTTGTAATGTCGATACTCTGGTTTCAGCTCCCACATGTTTTTGTGAGGATTCTTGGCATTGTAATTGCATATGTCCTTCAGTATTTCCTTCAGGTAAGGCTACAAACGACAATAATTTGCAATTAGGACTCCGCATGCTATCGAAAATTAATTAACTAACTAACTAAAACTTAACGTTTCGCTTAAAAAAAATAACTCGATCCGAACCAAAATTACACGAAGTGATGCGAATCCACAAGCGACTCTACAGCATTTTCGGCCAGGCCCGTGTCCCCCGAAAATGTTTTTCTGCATAGATCGGGAGAAATTCGGCAATCCTCCGACTGTCGGCAGTCTTTAAAAATGCGATTCTGCGTTCTGACCAGAGCCAATTTCCCCCTGGTGGCTGAATTTCAAACTAAAATTTTTCCAACTCGAAAATCGAAACCTCATAGTCGAGATTTACCCAATAGTTCTTTCTGCGTGGAGCTCCGAACTCCGAAATTATCATCATCCCGGGCACTTTTAATTAAAGCCTTATCCTACTTAATCCCTAACTTCAGACGGATGAAAAATAGCATTTAATTTATAATTCTGTAAATTCCGAGTTTAAATTATTTAGGAAACGTGAGAATTATCTGAATTAACAGATTTTCCTTGGTAATATATTTTAATTTCTCCTGAATTCCAGAAAATTAATTTCTCCTGAATTCCAGAAAATTAATTTCTTCCTTGCAGTTTTCTTTTGCTTGGCTTAGAATATTCACAAATGTTTATAATAATTCCTTTTTTTAATTCTGTATAAAATGTTTAAGGCATAATCCTAATCAAAATTTATAAGTCTCAAATTTCTAAAGTTAAATAAAATCTGAACAATTTTCATTTAATTGCTTAGATTTTATTTAAAATCCAGATTATAAATTTACTAGAACATCTTACCAAGAGAGGAAATCGTGATATATCTTTTAATTAAATAATTTTTCTGTGAAAAAAATCCATCTGAAAGAAGTCGTTAGGAACCTTAAATTTCCTACTGTTAAAATCTAGTCAATGGCAGCAAATCATCAAAATTCTAAATTTGGATCTACAGAATCTGTCAACCTGGCCTAAAAAATTTAGAGTTTTGACAATTCACTTGTGAATCCAGTTTAGAAAAAATCAAACTGACAAATGGCAGAGTGGCGTCGGTCTATCTCTCCGGTGGACCTAGGATCACACCCGAGTCATTGACTCTCTGGAAATTCTTAAGTGGGATACATTGTGCCTTGTCCCTCGCCACCTGGCCAAATCCGTGATGGGTATGGGGAAAAAAGACACTCAGTTTCTACGGGGGAAAAACAGAGGCGGCCAGATCAGACACAAGATTAATTTATTCCAACATCAATTCTATCAATCTTTATCGAAGTAATTGAAGTATGGCAGTAATTATCAATAGTCCTCAATCCGATCATAAATGCCGATCACAAAAGAGTTGGCAATCTCTTATTAATACCTTATTTCAAATATTTCCAAGTTATCTGAACATAACAAGAAAGTAACAGGACTTCTCGCTTAAATTTCTAATTAAAAAATAAAGAGCAAACTTCCACCGAGTCACTAAAACTAAAGAAAACAACTGATCCGAGCTTTAAACAGCAGAAGGAAAAATCAATTATACTGTATAATACTTAAAGATTTTCAAAAAAAATCTAGAAAAAATGTGTAACTAAATTGAATTCATAGCACATTAAAAATATCAAACAACATATTTAAAACTTATCAAGAGAGGGAATTCTATCAGATATCTGATAGGTATCAACATGCAGACTGTAAATGCCCCGTTTTATACAGATTAATTTAAATAATATATCAAATAAAGCAATCATAATATATGTAATAACTTACAACTGGTTGATGTGTAATCTTTTCTAAGTCTTTTAAGTTGTAATACTGATGCTTTTCAAAAGCCGAAAATAACAGATCCATTACTTTTTCTTTGTCTTCGCGAGACTTCTTTCCTTCGGCTTTCTTCCTTATTTCAAATTCGATCTGTAATTGGTAATACATTTTGTTTATGTGAATTTATTTTTATTTTCACAGAAGTAAATTAAATATGTAAAATTCATTATATTTGTAATTAACTTTAATATTCAATTAAATTAGCCTAAAAACAAAGACAAATGAGGAGTGACAAATTTGTATTCGTAATAACGTAGTCTGATGGTTGCCAGAAAATTTGATAATTCTGACAATTAATTGTTTTTAGATATTTAAATAAATNTGTTATTAAATATTAAATTCAAAAGTGTACTTAAGCTGTCATATATTTAATGTAAATATATATTTATAAGCTTATTACAATATATATCCTAAACTAACATAATTGTTTAATTTAATTTATTATATAGTTGTACAGACAGTCGCAAAATAAGGTATCACCATAACGTCATAGAAGGATCTACGTTCAAATCGAATCAGGATGTAATAATTTTAGTTCTGGTCGAAGCTTCGATCTCTATTTCTCATTCACTCTGATTCCATTACGGATCATGCTCATTCATAATATACAAAATTGATAATGATTCGTATCTAGAAATTAAATAGTCAGATTTATATTATAAAATTAATTGATTTTAAACTTTATTTCTGTACTTCATGCGGTAATGACCACGTCCCAACAACGGTCACTTCTAAATGATGGCTATTTTTTTTTTTTATGTTCTTGTCCGTTATTCAGAGGTTTGATTGTATTTTTATAAACCTAGTCATTTCTACAAAACTATAACAAATTATAAAAATAAATTATCTTTGTGTACTCTATAAGAAAACGATTGAAAAAAATAAAAGTATATATTTCGTAATAGGTTCTATATATTTAGAACGTATACTTTTCTATATGATGATAACAGTTCGATTATTTCATCTCAAGTGAAACGTTCTCATGTGATAACTATAAGCCCATTTCATACCATTATATAAAATTTCTTACTTTTTTGATTTATGAACGTATGGTAGCAGTTAAAGCACGATATAAATCTATTGTAACAAAATCACCTACACTTGTTATCAATGGCGTATTTTATTATCCATCCAAAAATAGCTGCTGACTTTGATATAAACGATCAGTAATAAGTAATATTATGTGCCGGCTGACATAATCTATGATCGTGTCAAATTATATCTGGAAAATTGTCAATAATATTTGACACGGAAGCATTGATGCAAAACCAGTCAAGTCCCTCCATACCGTTCATCATTTAATAATCGTCTTTTCCTAAAATTTAACGTTTACATCGGCCTTCTTTTTTATTTTATTTGGCATTTGTTTTCTTTTAATTCTTATTGTTAACTTACAACATCATTTTCATCGTTATTATAGCAATAAATTATCCTTGATTTATGACGTATAATGATTTTGATTTGAAAAATAAATATTCTCTTTCTTTTTATCTATATATTTTTATTAATATTCATGTTCTACAGTTTGAAAATACTTCTTGTTTTGTGTAATTTCATAATTAGACATTCTTTATCTTCTATTTTTTTTTATATCATAACTAATTTATTTTGGTAGAATCAAATAGCTGTTTTCATACTGGTTTAATTTCATGTCCTAAATCTAAGATAATCTTTCCTATAAGACTTATGAATAGTTTAACACCTTAAGATTTATTATAATTCATATTGAAGCATTACATTCTTTTTATTCTGGAGACATTAGAAAGTCTTTCAAGTGCTATTCATTATCGTGCAGCATTAAAAAATTTAGCTTATCTTCTTAACTTATTTGGAATTCTTAATCAGAATTTAAATGATGAATAAGATCTTCATCAATTTTTCTTAATTAGATTGAGCGAAATGCTAGAAACTAATTTGAAAAAAGTGAATAATTACTATAGTTAGCATCGATCACGTAACCAGTGTTACAGTCATTACTAAAATATCTCTTCACTTCTTGAATACTGTTATAATGTTTAATTCCGAGAGATGGGGGCACGTGTAGTTTAATCATTAATCAAATTTTCATTAAAAATTCATATATTATTTTCATTAATTTTATAAAATTATTATAAAGAGATCAAGAATAAGATAGGTGCAACACCCATAATCTATGAAAAGATATTGAAAAATAGAAGATAGTATTCTTTTGTCTTTGGCCACTGATGGAACTACTTTGAAGAATAAATAAAATTCGTTCAAATTCCTGAAAAATTCAATAGAAAATGTATAAAAGTTTCTCGACTTCAAGAAAGTTTTTACTTATTGAATATAAAATGAAACACTTAAAATTTTTATTTTTTATCGTCTTATGGATATGTATTATTTATTTATATTCACAGACTAGCTTTCTCGATTAGTTAATTTCTTCGCTAATGTTTTACTTGAATAACATAAATAAATTGTGTTATATTTATGTGATAGCACGTATGTATCCTCGCATAAATCTGATAACATCAATTTGATAGAATTTTCAAATCTAATATCTAAATAATATAAAATGTTTTATAACACATGATATGAGCAAGAAGTTTATTTGTAAAATCTGAGTTATGGGTGCATCTAGGTGGCAAGTAGCTAAGCAAGCAAGCCAATAAGATAGTTTGTTTTGTACAAAACAGAGTCTGTTGTTGGTTCACTTGCTTACCTGCATGCCCGTTAATATTGTTAACAATAGCAAATGCAGTGTAAAAATGAATTAAATCACAAACCAGACACCATAAAAACAAACTGACAAATGAGGACGCCTGGCTCGCATAAGAATCAGCATTTACAAATGATTAAAACTACAATTTACTTTGCCAAACATATTGTTCCATTTTGTTTGGACATTTTGTTTTGTTTCCATATTGTTTGGACATTTGACTAAGCACAAATGTCCAAACAGATTCAAAAACTGAAGAGTCAAAGTGTATTGTATCAAATTCTTTAATGATCATAACATTTCCTTTTTAATTTAGGCTCTTTGATAAGTGTATTCTCTGCCATACCCTTAAGGGAAGAAAGAGAGCAGTCGTATGCCACAAACCGCAGTGGCTGGCAAATTCGTTTTAATCCAAATGAGTGCAAACAATCTAAAAAAAGATATTTTCAAAACAGTAATATATCTCAAACATCTTAATGTGTCTTCTTACAAAGCAAAACATTACTTTCATGAATATCTAAACAGCTGGTAGCTGACAAATGTAAAGACAAAGTATGAATTAATGTCACTGATATTCACACATTATTCATAATGGGAATATATTCTTCAAATATAGGCTTATGTGAGTACAGATATGCAGATTACACGTTTATGCTACATTATAATCTTGACACATGTAAAGCCTGATTGGTTTACCAACAGATCATATTTTGGAATATTTAATAACATATCTGTAAAAGTTACAGACACAAAATTATTCAACACATGACTCTGTACACGATCATCTGCACTTTTATAACTGGCTGAATAGACCCCCACTTTAAAAACTGTAATAGTTTTCTAACTTATATACAGGATGTATAGTAATGCATGATAGCAAAAAAATCAATTACAAACTCGTAGAGTACAACCAATTAAGTACAAAATTGATGCCTTTTGTGCACAAATAATGTGAACAGAAAGCACAAAATGCTACCATAAATACTTGGTGCACACAAGTATTTCTCATGTGTTCATTTATATGTTCTCATTCATTTCTCATAACATGTATTTCTCATTTTTCTGTCTTTGTCTGAATTTATTACTGTGCATTGAAAATTGTGTCATTTGCACATCAGTGTATACGAATTTTACTATACATCCTGTATAGGAACTGCATTGTGTTTTAGTTATATTTTCAGAAATTAGTTGAGTTTTGCATCATGTCTTAACATAATTTTTTCCATTTAGAATAATAGATAACAGGTTCTGGATTAACATTTTCCTGTACAGCATCTCATTTTAGGAATGGTTTAGAAAATAAACTCTTTAATCAGTACAGTAATAAAACTAATAGAATGTTCCATTAGAATATTAATTAGAATTGAGTGCAGATAAGTTGGAATAATTCAAATGTAATTAAAAATATACTCATCCAATATGTGTGTTAAAAGTTAAAATTCCATTACACAGCATAGTTTTATTTCTAGATAGCACAGTTCTCAGCTTAGAATAAATGTAAAATTTAGGTTTTACTTTAATTTATTAAAATTAACCTGTCAACCTATTGGAAACTGGAAATGCAGACATCAACAATTACAGGTAGCCCTCATTTATGCTGCAGTTCTGTTCCTACAAAAGCCGGTGCAAATCAAATTGGCATAAAACAAACCCATATTTACAGTGAGGTATAGGGTTAGGTTCTACATAAATGAAAAATAAGCTAATAATTTTGTTTATTAATACATATAAATTTTATTAATACATATAAATACANAACTTTTTGTTTTATATTGCAGAAATATCGATTAAAAAAAAAATTGAAAAATGTTATGAGAATTTAAATCCGGTCTTTTATCATTTATTATTTCATGTAGTGATGAGGGTTGTAAAGTAACTTAAAGAAAAAAAAAACATAATAATATGAAAATTACGGTAATAATTTAATTATAATGTGAAGTAAAGTTTATTTTCATGAATTATTTTAACACCTCAACCTTCAGCCATCCGGTCCTTAATTGAGGTGTTAGCCTACCGCTCTAGGAACCCGGAAACGAATTGGAATGGGTCGAAAACTCTAGGAACTTTTCTAGGGATGGCCCGGATATGTCGGGTCCAGTTCCACGCATCCGTCAGTCTCATTCTGTGGGACGGATCCGCAATAGGCTTGAATAAAAACGGCCTCTACGAGGAGGAGAATCAAAAGATAATTTTTAAAAAAATTTTCTTCTAGAATTAATTAAATAAAAGGGGGAATAGATCTTAAGAAACATAAATATGGCAAAAATTAATATATAAATGTCTCTGTTCAGTAAG